TTAGCATGGAAATGGTTGAAATATATTTTATATATTTTTTTTTCAAGTAGACTCCAAAAACTTATTTGTACTGGGTACATAAACTCAAAAGGCAATGATGTGTTTCAAGCCTCTGAAACATCACCTACTGACGCCATTTTTTCCATTCATTTCGGCTTTCCATGAAGGTTTCAGCAGGAGATGTATTTAGAGGTTTACAATCCAGAACTTTTGGGTTTTTTCACCCAGTACTCAGTGCCTGAAAGCATACAAAAATTGGCCTTTTTGGAACTATTTCTATATTGAATCATTATGTTATAAAAAATAAATAATATTTGTCAGAATTTCCAGATTATTTGTGACAACTTATCATATAAATACCCATTTTTTCCCCAAATGTAACGAAAAATTTTGAAATAAATGCACCGATATAACAAAACATTTGTACCACACAAAGATTGCCATTTTTATCAGTGTAACATTTTTTGTGTGAAAACTAGTTTAGTGATCATACTTTTTTCATCAGGATTTTAACAGAGTAAGATCAAGAAAATCTGGTCATAAGTTTTAATCAAAGCCACTGCCCAGAACTTATTATATGCATTTTTACCTTTTAAACAGAGAATGTGCAGTTCTCAGCACACCGTTTATGATGTGAAAATCACCACTTTGAAATTTAGACACCATTTCAGGAAGCAAGTTTGGCCATTTCTTTGGAAAATCCTCACGCCCAATAATGCTGATTGCATCACTTAACTAGGAGCAAAAGAAATATGCATGTTATATAGAGTGCAATGTATCCTGTATAGTTCAATAAAATCTTGCATTCTTTTACAGCAATTCCAGGCACTGATTTGACACTGAAGTCGTGCTAGATGTTGATAACTTACTACAATAGGTTACACACTTTGTATTCAAATTTACAGAAGTTGTAACTAGAAATATAAACATCGGCTACAAATCAGAGGAATGATTGTCAGACATTGCCCACAATGTTTTCTATTTTTGCTACAAAGTCAGGTACACCTAGACTTTAAGGTGCGTCTGTCTTTCATTTCACTTTTGGTCAGTCATCGTGTCGATTGCGTGTCTACAAATCAGCATTTGTCCGAGTTGTTTAAGCACCACGATTGAGAAGCAAGGAGTCAAAATAACAGTTGAAGTGAGAACAAGAGTTGTCGATTTGTATTTTCGTGGACTGTCATTTGCTGAGATTAGAGATCGAAATGGTGTTTCAAAGCAGACAG